GATGAAAATTTCCGTATCTTTTAAATTAAGAACGTCTCTTGGAAGTTGCCAAGCCAAGAGCCTACCAACGGGCAAAAAATCGGGCTTTACCCCACCACTCCGCCGCGCCACAGCCTACCAACTTTATTCAGACGGCCACAATGTGAAGGCCCCAAGTTTTGACGCGTTCTTAAGTTTCTGTAGCCGAAGACATGCTCTGTATAACTCAGCGGCCGGCGCAGGTGCCGTAATAACTTTTGAATTACATTTCATTCTACTGGAAGGGGAACAAACTCGGGAACACCGCTAGCATAGTGTTGGGGTAGTTTTAGAACGGATAGCCATCAAAACATGTTTTCGGCGACGACGGCTAGCCATTAAAATCGCACTTTTCTCTTTTGTTGTAACGCAACTTGACGAATTCGAGCTCCAGTCGCGTCCTCGGCCTCCAGCGGGCTCCAGTCTTGTCATCTGGCTCCTCTGAGCCCCAGGGGGCTCAAGTCGCGTTCTCTGAGCTCCATTGGGCTCTGGTCGCGTCCTCTGAGCTCCAGTGGGTTCCAGTCGCGTTCTCTGGGCCCTAGTAGGCTCAAGTCGCGTCCTCTGGGCCCTAGTGGGCTCTGATCGCGTCTCTGAGCCTTAGAGGGCTCCATTCGCGTTTTCTAGGGCCCAGTGGGCTCCAGTCGCGTTCTCTGGGACCCAGTGAGCTCCAGACTCCCTGTTTATGGCCATCAGCCCCATCCCCTTAGCGGCGCTGTTCTCCAGTCGGGTCCGCCGAGCGCCTGCGCTCTCCGGTCGGCCCCGGTGGCCCCGGCCGCTTCGGCGGCGGCCGTGGCCTGCCGCCACGTCCCCCTCGGCCGCTGTCAGACGTCTGTCGGCGGCAGCCGCAGCCCGGCCGCCAGCTTGGCACGGCCGGCTGCCGCGCGCTCCTGACATTCCCGCGCTGGGGGACGGCAGCTGTCCCGCCCTTCCTCCCCCCCCCCCCCCCCTCCCCCCATCTGGCCCGGTCGTTCCACCCACCGAAATACCTCGGCAGCCGCCTGTCCCCCACTCTGCCGAGTGACTCGGTGGTGTCGGGCGCGCGCCGGCGTCCCCCCCCCCCCCCCGCCTGCCCCTCCCCGCGGCTGTTCCGCCTGCACGACAGACACGCGCCCATGGCAGACGTCTCGGCTTCGGCTGTGGGCCAGATGGACGGCTCCTTCGATTCGTCGCAAGTTGAAGCTCGGAACCATCGATCGCTGGAATGATGTTGCTTAATGCAGCGTGGGCGTCGCGGTGGCGATGCGGGATGTTTATGCATGCTATATCTGTCTTGCGGGTCAAGTGATCTAGCGTACTGATGGGGCTTCGTTTGAGAATTGATCGCGCGAGTGGAATGTTTTGCCTTTCATTTACCGCTCCTCCAGTATTTACCTATCCTCCAGTATGCTGTGAGGAGGCGCTCATTAACAACGCCAGCATTTCACCAAGCAGTGCAAACAGCTCAGCAGGAACTGGGGTGTAGGTCCTGAAGCTGGCACTTATTTTCTGACCTACGAAAATTTCCCTGGGAGGCTATTCTGGTCTGTAAGAGCTTCCTTTACACGTGACTTTGTGCAGGTCGTATTGCGTGGGCCGATCAATAAGGAAGTTACAATGTGTCATAACATCTTCATTTTTAAGCAAACACGTTCAAGCTCCTGCATGTTTTCGTTTTGTCATCCCTGCCCACACGCTACTTCTTCACATGATCGCCATCCACCCGGGTACGCTACATCCAGCGCTCGGACCAACGCCGAAATTACGCCCGGAAAAAGTCGGCTGTGGTCTCCGTCGCCTGCTTATACACAGTTCATTTCACCCCGGGTCAGTTAGGAAGCGGTGACCACGAAGGTAGTCATTTAGGGGCCGAAGAGATGTAAGCGTAATGGCGCGGGTGCAGGCTGTGTGGTGACACGGGGGGGGGGGATGGCTCAGCCCAGCCCGGCAGGTGGCGCGGTCCGTCTGGGGTCGGGCGTCTTCCTGGCGGACGGGGCCTGGAGGCGCCTGACCTAGGTCTCTCCTTGAATGGCTTTTGAGCTCCGGCACTCTCGGCACCCTTACTTAACTTGCAATGTTGTTGGCCTCTGTGTTCGAGGAAATGCACCAAGAACACGTTACCTTGGTCTCAGTACATGGCGACAGTGATCTCTCCCTAAGAAGAATCAGCTTTGGGTGCTTGAGAGCCAGCGTGTCTTCGTTTCACAGATTGGCGCATTGTCTCCGATTTATAGGAATTCACCCACGACACATCCCCCGTGATAATTCTCTAGAGAAGTATTCTTCAACATGCTGACAAGCGTTAGGAAGATAAGCGCTGGAAACACGGCGGATGTCCTTTGTTCTTGTCGCGTGTTTGTGCGATTTTGAGGGCCATTTTGCACACAGCTTGGGATAATTCAGTCTGGCTGATGATCTTTATGATGGCATCAGTTGAACAATCAGCTTTTTCAGTCAGGCCACGCACTCAAATCCTACCGCTTTGCCGTATCAACCCTCTCACTTTGTCAATTATGGTATAGGTTGATGCTCCCAGAGGCCTGCCAGATCTTGGCTTGTGGCTAATACTGCGTTCACAATTTTTGGATAGGAAAACCCATTGCCTCATATTTTCAACGGATATGATTTCTTCCTAGCACACGTAAAGCACGGCACCAATTTTTGGCGTGACGCTTCTCCAAGGTTTGAAAAAAGCGTTACAACTTGCTGTCTCAGTGTTTTGTCCATAGTCCTTGCGTTGAGAAAAAGCTTGAGAGGCTCCGACCCGGGGTCATACTTTAAGGGCCTGTGGCTGAGGCCCATGGCTTGTGGCTGAGGTCCATGGCTTGTTAAAATGCAGATATGCAATCTGTAGACGATTCTTCTTCGGGAGTGTTCGTAGCTTTTGTTATGCCACTGCCACCAGTATTTCCCGAGTCACAGACCATTGCATCTTACTCGATGGTATAATGAAATACGCGGAAGCTGCGGTGGGGCTTTACATGGTAACTTAACCCAGTATAGGGCGTCTCAAAGTGGAATGGTGAAACTGTAGCTAAGCTTGAGTGATCCTCGGCGTTGATGTCATCATCCAGAGGCACAGGGATCGATTTCCCGCGGTGCCCCGCCCTTACCGCCAGTGAGACAGGCGACGCTATATAGCCTCAGTTGCTGAGTGCATCGTAAAACCCCAATGACAGTGGCTGTCCTACAGCCGGAAGTAGATAATGGCCAAGCCCTTGATTACCAGCGTGATAAATATTAGTGCGGGCCGGTTATTACTGCTCCAGAGCTGATTACAGCAACTAAAATGACGCCTTAGCCACGATAGCTCAGCCGATTGGTGTGCCCGCTTTCTGGCTAATTCACCCGTGGCGTGGTGGGTTGGGGTCGCTTTATGCGCTCGCTGTTTCACCGTGGCCGGGATTGGTTGCGGTCGGTGGCAGCGGCCGCGCTGAAGGTCAGGTCAAATCAGGGGGAGAACGCACTGCGTCGAGCATTACGGCACGTAAAGCTCTCGCCGCATATGTGCCGTCGGGATTAAATTTTACAATCGGACGGTGAGGCAAATGCTTATGTAATGAACACTGCTCAGCGTGGACGTTGGGCCCAGAAATCCATCCAAGCTAAAGGTTCGGAGCAAATCTTAGGAAGAAAATCAGCTTTTATATGCCTGTTGATTTATATTCAATCTCCAGCGTCAAAATTATTTTGTGTCATGCCGCGTTGGCTTTGCCGAAACATGACGGTCCACAGTACGTGTTCGCTTCCAACATTGTTCTGTAGGCAAGAACCCTGCTGGGGTTCAGTGCTGGTGTGGCGTTGAACATGAACAAACGCTCTACGCATATCTGAAATACATCAGCGACACTGTTTCACTGTTGGTGCATGTAGCGTATTTGTTGGGTGTTTTTTATGTTTTTCAGAGCGTGCCTCTAAAAATTTGCATAGTTTATATCAACTGTTCTGCCACTGCGAAGGCGACTAAATTTGTGCCCACAGATATCTAGAAATCTAAAACGTATCTAACCAACTCAGCGACAAGGGCAAGGCAAGGCATTTACGGTAACCGATGTAGTCCACCCAGGTTATCCATACCGCCTTGCCCTGACCAGCAATCGTCTGTTTAGCTCGTGAAATAATTATGGTAAACGTGCCGGGTTTATATCATGTTTTGCCTCCAGTTACTACCGTAAGCAAAACGCAATGGTTTTTTGAAAAACGCCATCTATGTTAAAGAAGTGCGTAATTATCTACTTTTTCATAAAAACCAACAAAGGAACCACCAGTAGACATTCAGATTTATGTGTTTCATTCCTAAATGCAGGCGTTGCTCAGTTACGCATCTTGGAAAAGTTGAACAATTATTTTCAGCGGCAAACGTTTTCGACGCAGAAGGCATTCGTGTATCAATGAAATGACAGCAACCGTTTTCGAGGAAGGTACTAAAAACCCGTGTGTCTTATGAGCACTACAGACAGTTAGTTGTAGTTCGAATCTGCAATCAATGGAAGACATATTTTCCCGGTCATCTGTGGGTTATTGGCTGTTGTCGCTCAGTGGTTAGTGCACACATCTGGCCTTCCTCGTGATCTGTGCTGTCTGCAGTGATAACTTCCTCCGCGTCTTGTATCAGGTATAACTGACCTGACATGATTTTGTTAGCTCATCGCAAGCATATTCAGAGGTTGATATTTTGAGTCCACCTTGGTTTTAGAGTTGTAACTTGACCGGCCTCTGTCCTCTAACAACGATATTGCCCCCACGGTCGTTCGGTATTTTCCTGCTCACCTTGTGTGCGCTTTCCTTGCAACGCCATTTCTGCTCTGTGTTCGTTCAACAGTCTTCCCCTCCCCCGATGTCTCTGTGTCTGTTCAACACCCTTTCCCCTCTCCCTTCGTCTCTGTGTCTGTTCGACACCCCTTCTCCCTCCCCCGGTGCCTCTGTGTCCGTTCAACACCCCTTCCCCCCGCCCGGTCACTATTCTCTCTGCGGCAGCCAGCAGCTGACACGGCGCGTGTCCACAGTGCGATGCGGGTGCTGCTCTCGAAGCTGTCGCGGCCGTGGCTGGTGGACGAGAAGAAGGACGACGGCTACACGGCACTCCATCTGGCCGCGCTCAACAGTCACGTGGAGGTGGCCGAGCTGCTCGTGCTGCAGGTCAGTGACCAGCCCCTCTGTCCCTCACTCTCCACCGGCTCGGTCTGTTCTTTCCATGTGGTCAACCGTTTTTGCGATAGAGCGTCTGGAGACAGCCTTACAGCCCCTGTGTGGCGTTCAGACGCCACCAGTTGAGTTTGAGCCGAAGAGGAGTTTGAAATTGAACCATCAGCTGCTACTTGCCACTCTGGTGTGGTAAACCCTGAAGTAGAGGGGTAGATTAACTCCACGTGGGTCCAGGGTGGATTGACAGTCAAATTGTCCATGTATACAGTGCTCCGGTCTCGGTGACACTCATTGGGCGTCGGGACAGGTTCCCAGTCCGGCGCTGTGTACTGGTCGCAATGCTCGCTCTCCTCGCCAGCCCCTCAGCCGTCGTTGCCTGGACCGCCGTGACGACGCCACACAAGGAGTGGAGGTGCCGTCCCGGCCGCCGGGCGTGTTATGGGGAGGCACGGCTGCCCGACCGGTCACACATGGCCCACTCCGTTTTCAGGGCAAGGCCAACATGGACCTGCAGAACGTCAACCTTCAGACGGCCCTGCACCTGGCCGTGGAGAGGCAGCACGTCCAAATCGTCCGGGTACGGTCGCGTGGTCCTGACACGCGCTCCGTCTGCCAGTGCGCAGCTCTGCTGCTCCCTGGTCCTGTCCTTTCACACGTGTGCCCGGCACGTACAAATCGTCCGGGTACGGCCACCTGGTCCTGACACACGCTCAGTCTGCTCGTGCGCAGCTCTGCTTGTCCCTGGTCCTGCCCCTCCACATGTGTGCCGGTCGGGTTATTGACTGTGTGTCGTTCCTGCCACTGTTCGTGTCCGTGATGCTGCCCTGAGTCCGTGCTTACCTCCGTCCGTGTTAGGTCCGTCCGGCCGTCAGTCTGTGCTTACCTCCGTCCGTGTTAGGCCCCTCCAGCCGTCAGTCTGTGCTTGCCTCCGTCCGTGGTTAGGTCCCTCCGGCCGTCAGTCCGTGCTTACCTCCGTCCGTGTTAGGTCCCTCCGACCCTGAGTCCGTGCTTACCTCCGTCCGTGTTAGGTCCCTCTGGCCGTCAGCCCGTGCTTACCTCCGTCCGTGTTAGGGTCCCTCCGGCCGTCAGTCCATGCTTACCTCCGTCCGTGTTAGGGTCCCTCCGGCCGTCAGCCTGTGCTTACCTCCGTCCGTGTTAGGTCCCTCTGGCCGTCAGTCTGTGCTTACCTCCGTCCGGTTAGGCCCTTCGGCCGTCAGTCCATGCTTACCTCCGTCCGTGTCAGGTCCCTTCGGCCGTCAGTCCATGCTCCGTGTTAGGTCCCTCCGGCCGTCAGTCCGCCGGCCGTCGGATCGCTGACCAAACCAAGCATCTGACCATTGCGCGTGTTGTTTATATATTCGCCGATCCAGCCGAGTGCTTTTGGGCCTTCAACACTGCGTTTGGCTGGCCAGCTGTGGTCCGCTGCAGTGTCTGTTTGTCGTGACCACCCTGTCACCGTGGCCGGCGGTGTCGTCAGCTGCTGGTGAGCAAGGGATGTAACCTGAACGTGCAAGACAAGGATGGCGACACGCCGCTGCACGAGGCACTGCGGCACCACACGCTGTCGCAGCTGCGCCAGCTGCAGGATATGCCGGACGTCAGCGTCAGCAAGGTGCGGCCAGCGGGGGTGCTGCGTTGGGGTTCGATTGGGGTTCAGGAGCATTGCACTGCGTTTCGGGATCATTGAATGGTTAGACTCAACTGTTATCGTTCGTTGGTAATGGCTTCAACTCACAGCCGCAACCAATTTAAAAAAACAGCTTATAGGACAATCATTGTCATCATATCAAGATCTGCTGTGTGACAGGCAGGTTCTTTTGACCAGCTTGAACACCAAAAATATCCATGCTATTCAGCCTAACTTCGAGAGCAAGTCTCTCAAGACCTCCAGACCTAAGGGAGCGAAACTCTGACCGTGGCAGAGGTCAGGACACTGCACTCTCCTTTCACATCGCAGTTGCTGTGCCGTCTCCACTCGTCTACAGCAGACCACCTGCCGCCTCTAGCGCTGCCTAGCGTCGGGCTGTGAACTCACGAGCGCGCGCCGCGTTAGAGGCGCCACCAGCGGGGGCTGTCGCGGGATAGCAGCCACCCTGCCGCCGTCAACCACGCGCACAGTCGTGACCATCAGCGATGTTTGTAATACTTGCTGAGTGTAATGCGTGTTTGGTTTGTAATGGCTGCCGGTTGATGAACGCCGAGAGTTGCCCCGGATCGGGTGCTAGCAGTGCGCATCTTCGTCTGGGCTGCTCCCTCACCCGACCTTTTCGTCGGCAGTTGGTAATGGGCCTGGGCAGCCAGGGCTCCGAAAAGAAGTCCTCCGCGTCCATCGCTTGCTTCCTGGCGGCCAACGGGGCCGACTTGACCATCAAGAACAAGAAGGGTCAGACGCCCCTGGACCTGTGTCCTGACCCCAACCTCAGCAAGGCGCTGGCCAAGTGTTACCGCGAGAAGTCCGTGTGAGTAATCCTGCTGTCCATGAACTGTTACAAAGCGCGGCATGGCAGTTCGTTTCTCGTTTCTCGGTGTGAAGTCTTGGCGTTCTTTTTCCGGGTGATTACATCACAGGTTTTCGACACTCCCTCCCCCTTCCAGCGAGGCCACGGAGCGGGTGATGACTTCGAGCCGCGGCGGCGCGGCGGGCGGCGGCGACGCGGCCGGTCCGGACGTGGCCGAGGAATGCATGGTGTGCTCCGACAACAAGCGCGACGTCCTCTTCCAACCTTGCGCACATGTCTGCACCTGCGCCAGCTGCGCCGACCGCGTCAAGAAGTGCCTCATCTGCCGGCGGGAGGTGCTCAGCCACGTGGAGGTGGGTGCGCTGGCACCGGCGACGTGGCCGTGGCTGATGTGCGGCTGCTGGTGGAGACCGAACGGCCGTGTTGGGGCGATGTCGATGTGTGGAGTGGCGGCGGTGTTTTGTGCTGTCTTGGTGTAGGTGAGGTGCACGCTGGAGGAAGTGCTGGTGGGTTGTGAACCGTGCTCACTTGGTTGTTCCGGGACTATGAAAGGGAATCTCTGCGTGATGGCGTAGTCCGGACGGGCTTTTAGAGTCATGCCCCCCCCCCCCCCACACACACAGGCAATGGGCCCCGAAAGCCCCCGTTCGTTCGGAAAGTTTAAGATGCCCGTAGAACGTTTCTAAAACGTCGGAGTCGAGACTCCAGGTACTCAAACGGGATCCAAAGCCTAGAATTGTCCCCCAAATCCAACATCAAGGCCTCTAGAGTGGCCAAGAAGGGCCCCTTGGCTGAAAACGTCCCCGATGCCCTGATTGGGTCCCCTCCTGGGCGAATTCCTGGCTACGCGACTGAAGGCATATGTCTGGCCTCTCTCCTCGCTGACTGCTGCCCGACCTTTACTAATATCCGTCTGGTCTCAGCTGACCTCCGAGCTCGGCTGAAATTTAGCTGGCTTCGTATGTGCGCGCCACCAAACACCAGCGGGCTACCGACCTCGGCCTCCGACCTCTGACCCCTCTGACCTCCGTGTGTCCGGCGGCAGCTGGAGGACTGCATCATCTGCTCGGACAAGCGGGCCTCGGTGCTGTTCCGGCCGTGCGGCCACATGGTGGCCTGCCACTCGTGCGCCAGCCTGATGAAGAAGTGCGTGCAGTGCCGGGCGCCGGTGGAGGCGCGCCTCCCCCTCGCCGTCTGCTGCGGACTCGAAGGTGGGCGCCGCCCCCGGGCAGAGCGGCTGTCACTGGGGAGGGGCGTGATGCACGTCACGGCCGAGACAGGTGGCTGCTGGTCATGATACCGAGGCCTAGGATTTTGCGTGTGGAGTGACTCTGTTAGAGCATTGCGTTTCCACTAGCCTCCCGCGCTGTGTGATCTCACAGTGTCGCTCTCAGTGTATGGTATGTAGAATAACGACGATTGCGGATGCTTGGTCATATCCGTTTGATGTATCCACTGAGGGAAGGCCTCTTGGAACTCGGAAGACAATAATGCTTTTACCGCTCGTTAGACTGAGGAGGCCGCTGTTCTGCGCTCGAGTGTTGACGGTGACCGGACCGCTGTGAGGCTCCCCGGCCAAGCTCGTTAGACTGAGGAGGCCCGCTATTCTGCGCTCGAGTGTTGACGGTGACCGGACCGCTGTGGGGCTCCCCGGCCAAGCTCGTTAGACTGAGGAGGCCCGCTATTCTGCGCTCGAGTGTTGACGGTGACCCGACCGCTGTGGGGCTCCCCGGCCAAGCTCGTTAGACTGAGGAGGCCCGCTATTCTGCGCTCGAGTGTTGGCGGTGACCGGACCGCTGTGAGGCTCCCCGGCCAAGCTCGTTAGACTGAGGAGGCCCGCTATTCTGCGCTCGAGTGTTGACGGTGACCCGACCGCTGTGAGGCTCCCCGGCCAAGCTCGTTAGACTGAGGAGGCCCGCTGTTCAGCGCTCGAGTGTTGACGGTGACCGGACCGCTGTGAGGCTCCCCGGCCAAGCTCGTTAGACTGAGGAGGCCCGCTGTTCAGCGCTCGAGTGTTGACGGTGACCCGACCGCTGTGAGACTCCCCGGCCAAAGGAGAGCCGCGGCCTCTTCCATTTCGAGATCGTGCCGCCCGCTGGCATGTGTGAATTTCAGTCGTAAAGGTACCAAGGTGAAATTGCGCTCCGGGTAGGCTTTCGCCAGTGACGACGGGGAGAGGGGAGGGTGAGAGTGCGGAGCGTTTTCGTCGCTCGCCGGGGTTGATGGGTGGACACATTCTTGTTTTCCTACAGTTATTTTTTTTTTCATTCGAGGGTATTGGTTGACCCGACGACACGGGAGTGTCCGAGTCTCTCGATACTTATGACTTGCATTTTGTGCACCAGCCATAGTTACCACGGCTGCCAGTCCCTGAAGGTTACATTGGTTGCGGCTGTTGTGTGTTGTGGCCGTGCCTGACCGTGCGTGCTTGTGCCGCCGCCGGTCAGCAGTGCCTCAGTCCGTCCCTGCCCCCGCCCCCAGCCCCCGACAGCGGGGGCGACCTGAGCGACTCGGACCTGGGCGCCACTGGCGGCGCTCCCAGCAACAACACGGCGGCGGCGGCGGCGGCAGCAGCGGCGGCGGCTGCCGCGGCCGCAGCAGCAGCGGCCGCCGCCGCTGGGCCCACCCGCATGGCCACCTCCAGCACGGGCGCACAGCGGCCCATGAACAACCACTCGGACGTGCAGAAGCTGCAGCAGCAGCTGCAGGACATCAAGGAGCAGGTGCGGAGGAGGCGGACGGCTGGGGACTGATATTGGAATCTTGGAAAACTTGCGTCGATTGGTCGTATGCATAACTTTCTTTCCCGAGTCGTTTGGTTTAGGCAAATGGATAGTGTATGTGTGTGTGTGTGTGTGTTGAGGACCAATGACCATATCCGTAGACGATGTGGTGTGATGTGGCATGACAGCTCTGACCTCTCCGTCCGTAGACCATGTGTCGTGATGGCCTGGTCTGTCAGCTCTGACCTCTCCGTCCACAGACCATGTGTCGTGATGGCCTGGTCTGCCAGATCTGACCTCTCCGTCCACAGACCATGTGTTGTGATGGCCTGGTCTGCCAGCTCTGACCTCTTCGTCCACAGACCGCGTGTGTCGTGATGGCCTTGTCTGCCAGCTCTGACCTCCTCTCCGTCCACAGACCATGTGCCCGGTGTGCCTGGATCGGCTGAAGAACATGATATTCCTCTGTGGCCACGGCACGTGCCAGATGTGTGGCGACCGCATGCAGGAGTGCCCCATCTGCCGCAAACCCGTGGAGAAGAGAATCCTGCTCTACTGCTAGGCCACAGCGCATAGAAACCCGTGGAGAGACCAATTCTGCTCGACCGCTAGGCCACAGCGTATGGAAACCGGTGAAGCGAATTCCACCGTGCCGTTAGACCACAACGCTCTACTGGGGGTGGAGCGTGAAGTCCTTGTCTACTGCCAGGCCGTAGCTCAGCGCAGCGGGTGGAGGAGCGGATCCTGGTATGCGGCTTGGCCAGAGGATGCCGCAACCCGGGGAAAAGCGGATCGTGGTCTTTCGTTTGGCAGCAGTGCGCCTCAGTCCGTGGGAGGAGACGATCGACTGAACCGGTGCGACCACATTGCGTCCGGAATCGATCTGTGCTGTGCGGTATCAGCTGGCGTGCAGAGTGGTCCGGTTTTCTGTCATTTTGTATACCATACCCAGCTTTGTGGTGTTGGAGCGGACGTGTTTGTGGCCCGCGCGTCCCCACCCTGTGGCTCACCGCCTGACATCGGAGGGCAAGGGGGGGGGGATTAGCTCCCCCCCCCTTCCTCCTCCCCCGGAAGCGACATCGGCTGAACATTGGCGGCTATTTGCTGCCGGTTGGCTGCCGCAGTGTTGAGGCGCGCACATTCATATTTCATTAGAGACATTGCCGGTGCGTTAGCCGAGCCAGGTTGTAGAGAACCAGACACCGTGGCTACAGTATTTCTTCCATTGCCGGATGTCCTTTTGAAGACACAGTACGACAAGATATTTACAAGATTTCGCATTATGAGCATGCTGCCGTAGTAAAGACAGGCATTAGCATGCCATACCATTGGTGGGTTCATCTGACTGAACCGGTAGAAAGAAAACGGTCTGTGCTGACACTTTTTGCCGTGGTGATGCGCGTCCATGTTCTGTGCCAGTTGTCCATTCGGTTCGGGATGTGTTCCCACCTATGTAATTTGCACGCTCTTTAGATGACGTATTTCCCGCGGACTCCCGAACGCTTCCAAATGCGGGTGGGGAGTGAGTTCGAACCTCACTCAGTCGAAGTTTTTCCTATGCAGCGCCCCTTGTGAAGTCGATATAAATTGCGGCCACAGGTAAGCCTACCAGGTGTGGTATATCGCTCCCTGTTCTCTGGCGGCGTGTCAGCGATACCAATTCGTCCTGTTATGAGTGTTGCATGATAGTGTAAAGGTATTGCGTAGCCCAGCCCCTTTGTGTGCAAACCCCTCTCGTTTCCTTACGCGAAGCATGTTCGTTTAAGAAGACGAGACTGCATCTGACGTTGCAGAACTCCTACGCCACCGATGTGGTGCAGCGGTAGGGGAGACCAATTTTTCACTCGTCATACGTGTATTGGAATATATGATCTGACGCACACTGATATAGGTTGAAAATGTGATCGCTTGTCCATTGTGCAAACATTGAAGTGTGCATGCTATAGACTGTAACGACGTTGAACCCATAATAAATTGGTTTAATTTTTCGTGTGAATTTCAAGATCGGTGTGAAATGTGGGCGATGAGTGCTTAAACTTACCCGCAGAAAAGTTGATTTCGAAGACACCAAGCTCCGTATCGATGTGACAAAAACGGTTATGAATTTTGCTTATCATACGACTGGTCATACGACTGGCCATTTGCTTACCATATGACTTGTGTGGTCGTCGGAAGCAAAGCTACTTCGAGGAACTTAAGCCATAAAACCAAACGCGCCCCCCCCCCCCCCATGGCTGGCCACGGACCGCTTGTAGAGAGGTGAATGTGCTGGCGCGGCGACCAGCTGGACATTAAAACACTCGCGAGTCCTGAATGTTATCGCACTCAAGTACAGGATGGGGCTAGTGACCATTTGCCCGCCCGGGGATGACGAAAGGACGTCCACAGCGCAATGGCGGCACTAACGGGCTTCGCCTGTGTGTCTGTGTGCACTGTTTTGAGTAAGCGTGCCCTCCCCCAACGCCAAATCCTCCCAACGAGAGATTACCTCCCCCACCCGTGAGCCTAAGCGAATACAGAATATGAAAAATATAAATTCAATTTGATAGGAATCAAAGGCCGCCGAGAAATATTTTCCGCATTAAGCCCAGTTTACACGGGCGACTTTTGCGGCGATTTTGCCACCTCGGCGGCAGTCGTGCTCGTCGGCACCGCAGCGGCCGTCGCCTGCCACCGGCGGGTGACTTATGCGCTAGCCAGGATGACGTAGGCAGGCATTTGATCAGAGAAGACGCTGGTGTCGGCCTTGTCGAAGCGACCGACCGAAAGTTCGATTGATCGAACAAAATGTCATAGCGGCAGCGTGCCGCTGGCGTAAATCGTGTGTAATTGCGCGGGTGTTTAAAATGAAACGAGTCAAGATAAAACCCTGCTTCGATGTCTGTGCTATTAGATGAGCCATACGTTCTGGGGAGTGGCGTCCGTGATTTAGGACCGTAATTCCACAATAAATGCATCCCAAGATGTGAAAATAAGCTAGATAGTTGTGCATTGGACTGCAGCATTGTGGCTTGTGCTGCGGACGTGCTCACTGCTTTACACCTGTTATTGTCCAATACCACCATCAGCATGCTTTGCTGAAATGTAACTTTCCAAAATAGTTGGCTTTCAGTCTGTGGTGAGCTCTCAGTGATTTCCAAATCACTGACATGCTGACTTCATGTGGCGCTTGTGCTGTTTGTTTTTCGTCATTAGCTCGGTATTACTTCATATGGTTGGTCGTCATACTTGAGATCAGCCTTCGTACCATAGGGATCATTGTTTTTGCTTCACCAGGGATTCGGTGAAGATTCTTGCTTTTTCGTTTGTTTTGGTTTGTCTGCTCCTTAACACGTGACTGGCATCCCATGCTGGCTACCATTACGTTGCTCGCGGAATTTCACTGTTTCAAATAATATTTTGCTTGCTTCGTTTGTTGCTGTGCTTTCTTCAATTCTCCGCCTTTAATTACAATTTTCGGTGGCATCCTTCCTGCTGACCTTCCGCGTAACTAGGAGTAATGGCTAGTCATTTATCCGCTATATCATCATGATCACTCGACCGATTTCTCACCGACACAACACGGCAATCATGAGATACCCAAAGCCCAACTTGCATACAGGCAACAAGCGCCGTGACTGACTTAATAAGTTAGATGCAGGTCCTATATGTTTTGAAGTTACAAACTCCCACATGACGTGGTGTAAAAAATAATGTTTTTAATGCGTTTGCAAATAGTAGTCAGGAAGAAAGTAGCGCCAACCCATCAGAATAACCGCATTTATTCTCATACTGATTTTGTCGGGCTGGTTACCTGCGTGCATGAGAATGATAAGTGACAGCTGACCCTCTTTTCGCCTATCGTATTGATCCCGTCATTGGGGATTTGCAACGTGACCAGCTGCTCAGACTATATGCCATCGCCTGCGTATCGTCCTAGCACAAAGGACGGCGACTGTGTCCCACAGTAGTCTAGACATAGTGGCTGTGTTCACTAATAATCGACCTTACCGATGAAAAGGTACTTAAGCGTGATGCGTCTACCATTAAAAATCAGATTTGTTTGGATTAATTATACATGCCATTGTTAATGGCGGCTTTAGCTCGCTGACCGACTGTATTGATTCGCAGGTTGCTATCATCGACGCAATTCCTTGTCATAAACCTGCTGGCAAACGTGACGCTGCTAGCAGTTTTAGGCCCATATCAGCTGCACGGCGTTGTCATGTGAAAAGGTTTTCTGTCGACAGTTGTCGGCTCATCTCGACTTGACGTCTACCGTCTCCCACCCGTCTATGCGTATAGGCCGTGTCACTCAAAGGAGGGCGCTATGGAGTGAATGACTCGCCGGATCGGTTCCGAACATATCGCCGTTACTTCCATAGACCTTAGCCGAGCTTTCGGCAGCGTTGACCACGGCGTCCTCCTGACCAAGCTGCAGTGGCACGGCATCGATCCACGATGGTTTCAAAGTTTCCTCGATGGATGGCGGCGGGTGGTAAGAGGTGGTTCATGATCTCTTCCTTTGTCCCACGGTATTCATCAGGAGTCCCTGGTGAGCCCAAACCTCGTCAGAATCTTCGCGAACGATCTTCCATCTTACCTACCTCACGGGTGCCTGGTCTCCTAAGCCGATGACGCTCATCGCCCGCTGCCCACGACACCACCCACTGTGACCACTTGCCCACCCTAAAATCCCGGTAGAGGGAAACCATTCTTGCCCTCCAATTATACTTAATTGCCAATGCCCTAAAGAAAAACCCCATAAAAACCACCCTCCTTTTAGTCGGTACGCCCCAGGCCATCAAAAAGTATCATCCTTCCATCTGAACATCTCCATCTTAATGTTAACCCCTACGGCCGTCCCTGAAGATGCTGGGAGTGACCATCGGCCGTAGCCTCTCCTGGGAGGAGCATAAATCCGAATAAATATAAAAATGCAGCTCTATACTGTTTTCGTGGCGCGCGGCGTATCTATCTGCCGCAGGCCACATGCTACTTTTTCCAGCAAGCTTTTTCCAATGTTCTTGTTTGCTATGTTTGACCCGCGCGCTTGTCCCGGACATGCGCGCCGGGACGATCAATAGGAGGCGACCCTGAACAAACGCCGACCCCATCGGAAACAGAGCCCAGTGAGAGTCGACTGTCGGAGGGAAGTCGAGACGGACACGATGATGGGAGACGGCATCGGCCTGGTGCGCCGAGGGCTGTGCGCTCGGCACCTATGCCTCCACAAAATGTGAGCCCGGCGGAGGGATCGCCGACCTGTCGGCGTAGTCCCTGAGATCTCCGACCCCTTTCTATGTTTGGTAACCTTGCGCTTTATTTATACACCCTAAAGAAAAGTAAGTTCTATAGGAGCATTAAGCTTACGTACTCGCACATCATTTTGATCCGTTGTATGTTGTACACTCATTTCGTGCACGCACTGGATCACAGTAATCAGCATGCCTTACATAGAAATGTGTCGTTAATGCGTGCTGTTAAATGGCGTGCTGACCCCTGCCTGGCATTGCTCTATGCGTTTCAAGGAACAGTCTGCAGGAAAGCAGCAGATCAGTGAATAGTGTGCAGCCTGAACTCTGTGCCATGAGACATGACGCGTCGTAGTCAGGACCATGTTTTGTCTCTTCTTGTTAAGTCCATATACTGCGCACATCTTGGGGCGAGTGTGAATGTCCGCGAGCCCAATCGAATTTTACCATGACGGACTAAATGCGTCACAGATGCTTGACTCAATGACTCCTCGCGGGTAGCGATGGAGGTAGGCCTGCGCGTCACGTGGGCAAGAGCTTCTCGCGGGCAGCGAGGGAGCGTTGTGAGCCGATGAGAAATTCCGGCGGGCCAACGGGGGATGTCGGCATAGTTCGGCGGCTATAGAGAGTGGGGGCTACGTGGTGATGCCGAGGTGAGTCTTGCACCGGGTGGCTACTATTTTCTGGGGAAACACTCAAAGGCATTCGTGGTGTATGGCTGTACTGCTCCGCTCATGGTTAAAGGGTCTGGTCGATGCGCATAACACGTAGTCTTTGTGTAGCGACCATACTATAGACCTCCCTTTAATATGACCGGTGATAAGCATGCATGAGACGGTGTGAAGGTATGAATGCTGGTTGCGGAACCCCTGTAAAGTAAGTTTATTGCCCATGTTAAGACAAAATTATCTGTTTCGTAAAAGCCTTATTTACTGCGGAGATTTACTATATTACCGGTGAACCAGTGTTCGCCATTATTTGCAGCCGCTCCCAGTTAGCCGGCTTATGACGAGGAATTGTCCTCATGATAATTACCTGCGAATCAATAAAGTGGGTCAATTAACCAACATCCGTCATTAAAAATGGCATCTATAACAAATCCAAGCGAATATGATTATAACCACCGGTAGACGTATCATTCCCAAGCAATTTTTATTTTGTGAAGTTGCTTATTAGTGAGTACAGTCACTATCTCCAGACTGTTTTGGGTCCGCAGTGGGTTACCGATGATTGCCACACACATAGATAATTTGAGCAACTAAATGAGTACATTTTGTAATCGTGGTCTTTCTGTAGACGGCCGCCACGTCGAAGACACCGAGGTTTCACGTGTACTATATTTGATGAACGCCCATCTCCAACACCGCGCCTCGACTCCTCGTGGACGCTGACAGGGAAACAACGAAACCTCGGAAATGGACAGACTAGACCTAGGACTAAACAGAGCGGAGACAGACAGAACAGAGACTAAAATAAGCAATACAAGATGAATACGAAAATAACATGTATTGACTAACGCTAAGTTAGACCTCAAGATAATAGCAAACTAAGTGACTAAACAAACGAGAAGCGAGCACTAAATCAATTAGAAATGCAAACGGTACACCGACTACATTTCCATTGAAGTGGCCCTGCTACCTCGCTGATTGGTATTTGTAAACGTATTTAAAACATTTTGCACTATCCAGCCTCATGTGCGAGTGCGAGTCCAACTTCAAAAAACATGCAGGAGCTTCATCTACATTATTGAGTCA